TGGCTGGGAATTGACTGGGCTCCTCATCCTTTATTGACGTGTTTATGTCCGGAACAAGAACACACCAGGACACGGGTTCAGCTCCGGGCACCCCTCGAGCAAGTGCGCCCCCTAGAGGAGAAACTCTCCCTTGTCCTTCAAGCTACTTCCCAGCCTCACCTTTCCCAGGAAAACCAAGCCGGAGGAGAGGCGGTTGTCCACTTTGCCTGAGAACATGCCTTGGAGCATGTGCTGGTCTTCTGAGTTTCTTTTCTAATTTCCGCAGGTTGTCACTTGCATGCCAGAGCTGGAAAAAGCCACAGGCATCTGCTGGTCCTGCAGTTTCAGGACCTGAACATCAGCCTGGCCCCCAGGTGCTTGGAGCCAGCCCTGCTGGGATGCAGCACTTCCAAGCTCACACAGCCATGCCCAGTGGTTCCCAATCCGGGGTAGACATTAGCACCAGCTGAGGTGTTTAAAGTATGCCGAGGCCCTGGATAAAGTATGCTCACCTGGAACCCTGGCACTGGGACTTTTTAATGTGCTGCCCCACCCCTTCTATCCCAGGTGATCCTAGTGAGTAGCCGGGGCTGAGAGCTGCTGGTCCAAGCTGGAAATGCTTGCACAGGAATCACTCAGGGTGCTTATGAAAGAGGACGTTTCCAGATCCAGACTTCAACCCACTGAATCAGAATCTCTGTGGGAGAGGGAGAGGCTGAAGGACTTGCATTTTATTTTATTATTTTTATTTTTGTTTTTTTGAGATGGAGTTTCGCTCTTGTCGCCCAGGCTGGAGTGCAATGGCATGATCTCAGTTTACTGCAAACTCCGGCTCCCAGGTTCAAGCGATTCTCCTGCCTCAGCCTCCTAAGTAGCTGGGATTACAGGCACCCGCCACCACACCCAGCTAATTATTGTATTTTTAGTAGAGACAGGGTTTCACCATGTTGGCCAGGCTGGTCTCGAACTCCTGACTTCAGGTGATTCACCTGCCTTGGCTTCCCAAAGTGCTGGGATTACAGGCATGAACCACCGCGCCCAGCCTGCATTTTAAACCAAAAACCTGAGGTGACGTCGGTGAAGCACTGGGTGACTGGTTCATCTTTATGGGATGACTGTGGGGTCCAGGGAGGTGAGGAGACAGTCTCAAGCCTTGCAGCTCAAGGACAGCTCCCAAGTCATGGCAGCCACTTCAGAGGGGTTGTGGGGGCCTGGGAGGTGGTGCCCTGGCCTATGGTCCCTGCTCATGAGGGAAAGGAAGGCTCATCCTCATCCTGTGATCTTAACTCCCTCCTCAGCCCCACCCCACAGGAGCTCCAGCAGGTCAGCCTGGCCCTCCCATTCTTGAATCCCAGTGGCCCCCACTGGCAGGAGTCCCCACTGACCCTGTTGTCCCACATTCCTGTTTACCCCCACCAATCACGCCCCCTAGCACCAGGTTCTTGGTCAGGCAGTTTCCTCCTTCCAGTACCTTGGTGTGACCAGGTCCTGGAGGAGGTCAGAAGCCCCACAATTTCTGGAGCCCCCACTGTCTGGGACAACAGAGTTCCACCTCTAGATTCCTCCGCCTCCAGCATCCTGGAGCAGCTGCGGGACACCTGTCTCCTTGGGCTCCTCAGTGAGGCCCCAGGCCTGTCCCGGCCTGCCCTTGCAGACCTCCTCCCTAAAGTGCTGTGCTCCCACCCAGTGCTTGCCCACGGCCAGTGGGGGCTGTGAGGGCCAAGAACTGGCTGAGAGGAACCTGGTGGCATGGAGTCTGTCTGTTTCCTCATCTGCAGAAACAGCTTTGTGGTAGCAATGGTGGTGCTCCCACCCCAGGCTGCTGGAGAATCCACAGACCATAGGTGATCACGCTATGTAAACTGCGTCCGTCCGGGCTGGTGGCTCTCACCCAGCACCCCTGCAGCGACTGCCCCCTCTCCAGGGGTTCTTCCATCAAGGCCCCACTCTCATCCTCTGCTGCCCAGGCCTGCAGCTTCCCCCAACCTACACCCCCATCCTGCAGCTTTCCCCCGCTACACCCCCCGTCCTCCTGCTTATGAGCTGTGCCTGTGAGCACTTTGTGCCTTGGTTTCCACCTCTGTACTCGGGGTGGCTATACTCCTACCTCGGGGTGTTCTCACAGTCAGAGGAGTCAACACTGACAAGCTGGGTGCCAAGGGTTCAAGGGGAAGGAAGGGGGTGCACAGGTGGAGCCAGGG